TTATGCATAAAAATACCACAGAAAGAAAGTTAGTCAATATCACACGAAGAGTGCCAGTTTTCACCTCTAAAATCAGCGTAATTACAAATGCGATACTGATTTTATGCAACAGTTCAATAAACAAGAAGTTAATATTAAGAGTCTTAACTTTTAAACACCATATTGCCTGTTTTTGCTCTATTTCACGAACAGAAAATAATTCCAAACACAGCCACAGCACTGTTTTGCGTCTCTGAGCAACATGATGATGTCTCGTTCCTGAATGAATCAACCATTTAAATCAGGGGTGTCCAAACTCAGTCCTGGAGGGCCGATGTCCTGCAGAGTTTAGCTCCAACTTGCCTCAGCACACCTGCCTGGAGGTTATAGTATGCCTAGTAAGAGCTTGATTAGCTGGTTCAGGTGTGTTTGATTAGGGTTGGAGCTAAACTCTGCAGGACACCAGCCCTCCAGGACCGAGTTTGGACAGCCCTGGTTTAAATGATTCGGTTCAGTCGCAATGACTCACTTATTAACAGTGACTTGCTGCCACCTACTGGCGGTTTCACATTTAAAGCATCTTTTCATTTTTAGAATAATTGTAAATATCAGTATTCAATGTTTTATGTTTAAAATAACAAAATATTGTTTATGCATCTGTAACTGCAGGTTAAATGCATTCATGTCCCTCTGAGCTGAATTAAATAGTGTGTAAATAGGCCTACATCTAAATGCCTCTTCAGATGTAGCTTCTGTGTTTCTTCTGCATTGCAAAGATTAGTTTTGATACTGTTATCATTTGTTTGGTAACAGCCCAAATAGATTTTTGACAACAGTGAAATTGATTTTTGTATTTTTATTTATTTATTTTTATTTGTTTTTTGATTTTTTTTTATTGATATATTTGTATTTGCATTTTGAATGTAATTTGGCAATTAAATGCATTAAATGGGTTTAGTTTTCATGGTTATTAATGTAAGCAATTTCAGCAATAATAATTTTCATTTTTCTTAAGGAAACAAATTAGTTGTTTATTTTAAGAGACCTATCTTCTTATCTCTTGTATATTTAGTATTGCTCTTTAATAAAGAAAAATAACTTCTTATCTGATTAATCGGTAGAATACTCGATTACTAAAATAATCGATAGCTGCAGCCCTATGGCATACATTAAGGATGGAACGATTACAGATCGTTCATGATAAGTTTATTCATGATAAAATTCCCCACGGTTAGTATTACCATTTCATATGTTAATTATCATTAAAACCATATTCGATTACCGCGATTTGAACAACTGAGGATAAATAAATACTGTCCAGCATAAAGCAAAGTTTTAAGTAACAGTCTCATGTAACAGAAAACATGGTGGAAAAGCCTGGATGTTTTAAAAGAGTGCTGAAAGAATTATACAAATGAATTATATGAATGTATCTCTGAAGGTTCTGTCTTCAGAAAAGATTCGATGGCATTTTGTTTTCATCTTCGCTCCATGTAATACCTAATAAAGTAGTGTTCTTAATCGCAATGCTGCTTTGTTCACAGAGGTTATGGGAAACAGCTGTAATTCTACTGTTCCAGAAATGTGAATACAAGGGAGGTTTAGCTTTAGGCACTTTAATTTAAGCATGTTTAGCTTAGTTAACGGAAGGCTACCTGCTGCCATCAGAGCAAGTGTAATTGCTGCATTCACGCGCTCCTCGATGCTCTCGTTTCCCGAGTTGTGCTTTTAAGTCGGAATGTGAAAACAACATGGACACGCTCGTTACTACAAAGATGTGTTGGATTTGTAGTATTAGAGCTTTCCGACTTGAGTTCACATGCATTTTCTCAGTCAGGAAAGTATTTTTCAGGTGCGGTGCCACTGATGATGATGCTTGCATCCGTTTCGGAGAACCAGAGGACAAATATTTCAATCGATCGCTCGGGCATGGCACCGAAATCTGTGTTCTGATTCGGTTCTAGTACATACCGGTTACATAGGTACTGGTGCCATATTGGTACTGGGTTTCGGTACCCAGCCCTAGTTATTAAACTCTTATCAGCCATGTTGTCATTTAAAATCCAGACATTATTGGTAATGTTTTAGTGTTTATGAAAACAAAAAGTAAAATTGTATTTGTTGTTTGCTGATTTTAAATATAAAACTTGGTGAAACGATTTATGTGTCAGTAGTTTTTGAACATTTCCAGCACATTTTAACAATACCGTGATAATACCGTGATCATTTTGGTCACTATAATCATGATAAGAAATTTTCATACCATTACATCTCTAGTATATATTCTAGTTATTCCAGCTGCGTTTCTCAAAAAGTAAAATTGTATTTGTTGTTTGCTGATTTTAAATATAAAACTTGGTGAAACGATTTATGTGTCAGTAGTTTTTGAACATTTCCAGCACATTTTAACAATACCGTGATAATACCGTGATCATTTTGGTATATATTCTAGTTATTCCAGCTGCGTTTCTTTGATTCCAGTCATTGAGTTTCTCTTGACACTGGTTTTATTCTGTTTGTCCCTCTGTAGAGTATCGTGTTGTGTTGTCCCAGCGCTCTGGTCTGGCACTACTCTCTGACAGATAGCCGTAATAAGACCGGCTCGCCATTAGACCTCTTGCCAATCGCGTCCTCTAACCTGCCCATGCCGGGGGGCAACAGCAGCTTTAACCAGCAGGTTTGACTTCTTGATTTTACACGATCTGATCTACTAGCTCTTCATCTGATCACAGCACTTCATCTAAAGGAATGTGATGTTTCTCAGGTTCGTGCCAAGGTGAGGGAGATTGAAGAGCAGATCAAAGAGAGAGGACAGGCGGTGGAGTTTCGCTGGTCTTTCGATAAGTGTCAGGAGACGACAGCAGGTGGGCATGCATGAGCTCTTCAGCATCTCAGTATGGACAGGACTTGTTTTATCCTGGTTAAGCCTGTGTAATATATCATCTGTGGTATGTCCGATAGGTTTCACCATCAGCCGGGTTCTGCATACGCTGGAGGTTTTGGATAACCACAGCTTTGAGAAGTCTGACTTCAGCAATTCTCTGGATTCGCTGTATAACCGGATCTTTGGCTCGGGACAGAGCAAAGATGGACACGAGGTACAGACAATTGTGTTTTTGATTTGTTGTTATGGGGTTTCACTGATTTTTTTTTTTTATTAGTAAGAAGTGAAATTAATAAGAAATTGAATTGATCAGAAGTGACAGTAAAGACATTCATGTTACAGAAGATTCCGATTTCAAATTATGATTATGTTTTCAAAGAATCCTGAAAAAATATCTCACGGTTTCCAGCTCAACTGTTTTCAGCATTGATAAAAATAAGAAATGTTTTTTTGAGCAGCAAATCAGCATATTAGAAAACAGTTATTTTAAATCGTAATAATATTTCACAGTTGTACTGTTTTTACTGTATTTGTATTATCAAAAAAACATGTGAACATGGCGATCGCGCTCGGATCCGCGCCAAAACAATCGGTCCGAGATCGCCTGAACGAGGTGGTCTCGGCTCGATTGAAAACTAACTCTGGAGCGGTTCAGTTGTAGTGAGAAAGCAATCCAATCTAACCATCAGCCGGGTTCTGCATACGCTGGAGGTTTTGGATAACCACAGCTTTGAGAAGTCTGACTTCAGCAATTCTCTGGATTCGCTGTATAACCGGATCTTTGGCTCGGGACAGAGCAAAGATGGACACGAGGTACAGACAATTGTGTTTTTGATTTGTTGTTATGGGGTTTCACTGATTTTTTTTTTTAGTAGTAAGAAGTGAAATTAATAAGAAATTAAATTGATCAGAAGTGACAGTAAAGACATTAATGTTACAGAAGATTCTGATTTCAAATTATGATTATGTTTTCAAAGAATCCTGACAAAAATATCTCACGGTTTCCAGCTCAACTGTTTTCAGCATTGATAAAAATAAGAAATGTTTTTTTGAGCAGCAAATCAGCATATTAGAAAACATTTATTTTAAATCGTAATAATATTTCACAGTTGTACTGTATGCAGGAAGCAGTGTTAAAATGGAGGCAAGTAGCTTTTTTTTTTCCCCGGTCACAATGTGGTGGAAAATGATTGGTCATACTTTATTGCTATTAATTCTATTTGGGGTTTTTTTAGGATACTGGTATGTCCGAGTCAATGGAGATAGATCACAACTCGAGCGCTAACTTTGATGAGGTTGGAGAAAGTATTTCACTACACTTGCCTGTTTTGTAAACGGCAAAAATGCCGTGTGAAAGCAAACCGCACCAAGAATAAAAAGCAACATTGTAATAATTCTAATCCCTGTTTCGAAACAAAGCAATCGATTTACAGGTGTGAAAGCTCCCTAAGAGACTTCAGAAACATTGAAAACGTCTTACCAACCCCAAATCTTTAAATGGTAGCGTACTAATAATGGACAGTTATTCATTGTAATCAGACACATAAGTGCTGTGATGCTTGGACAGCTGTGCATCAACTTAATTGTAATATCAATGTAAATAATATGTAATGACTATGTAATACAACGGTGTTTTAGCTGGATCAGATGTTTGATGTGTAATGTGCTGGTCACTGTAGATGAGCCCAGACGACGATGCGGTGGTGACCCTGCTGTGTGAGTGGGCTGTTTCCTGTAAAAGGTCCGGGCCGCACAGAGCCATGGTGGTGGCCAAACTCCTGGAGAAGAGGCAGACGGAGATTGAGGCAGAGGTGCTGCTGGGAAACATTATTTTTTCTTTATCAATTAGTGTTGGGCGATATGCTCAATTGTCTCATTGTCCTATTGTCAGCCTGTGAGATCGCCGATACACGATATCATCATGCTAATTTATTTAATTGTCTACTTAGTTTTATTGCCGGAAAGTGAATCAAACTCCAGCGTAAGGCTAAAAGCAGCCTAATATATATATTTTTAAATATGACTGAATTTGTATTTAAAATGATAACAATTTAATAAAAACATTGTAATTACTAATTATAATGCTTACATTTCCTCAGTTATCCAAAAAGCAGCTACAGAAAATGAGCAAAGAACATTTATACGACCAAAGAATATAAATATTAATATATATATATATATATATATATTCGGTTAATACCAGCTGCACCGCGTTATGTTTCTGAAGCGACCCAGAAGTGGCTCTCCATGCTGCATCGCTAAAGATAGGCACCTAGTCTATTTTTGATGAACAATAAATAATAATAATAGTAATCGTCTTACTTTCATGAAAGGCATCAGCAACAGGCGATACTACCGTCTATCGTCACAACCGTATTATGAATATGGTTTCATTATATCCAGCTGCACAGTTTTCACAGTGATATGTTCCTGTATGTTTTTAGCGTTGTGGAGAGTCGGAGGTTGTGGATGAGAAGGGCTCTGTGTCCTCGGGGTCTCTGTCTGCTGCCACTCTGCCTGTTTTCCAGGATGTCCTGCTGCAGTTCCTGGACACACAAGCTCCTGTGCTCAGTGAGTTCATATTTTAACATCCGTAGGGTCTTTCCAGTTCCAATACCTGGACAAAGCTACATTTTCACAGCTGCAGCTTATGCATTACTTTTAGCTCTAGAACAAATACAAAAGGAACAACAACGTCATTTAAAAAAAATTGCACAGATTCTATGTCCTGCCTACAAGCACTTGAGTCTTTTGAAAACTGAACATCCTACAATTATTAGCATACTAGAAAAATTTGTCTCTTTAAAGAAACAAGATTTTTAGATTTTTCTGACATTATTTTTTGTTGGATACGCGGCCATATGCGATTGGTCGGCAATGAGCAGGCAGATAAAGCGGCTAAGGAAGCTCTTCAGTTGGAAGTAACAAAATGTAATATTCCTGTATCTGATGTAAAACCTATATTGAATCTGTACATTAATAATAAATGGCGAATTAAATTAATGCATATACAACAAACTATATGAGGTGAACCCAGTAGTAAATGAAAGAAGTAATTATTATTTTGAAAATAGATATGACAAGGTTGTGTATATAAAATGTCGAATTGGACATTCAAGACTCACTCATTCATTTTTATTGAAAGGGGAAGAGAAACCAGTTTGTGAGTTGTATAGGATTGTTTTTAGTGTGAAACATATTTTAATAGAATGTCCAATTTTAAATGATATTGGACAATGTTTTTACTCAGAAAATATACTAAAAGACATTTTTAAAAAGGTCTCTCCTGGAAGAATTTTAGAATTTTTTTTATCATTGATTAAATTTAAAGATTCTATATGATTTTTATCAGTAATACTGTTGTTACTTGTATGTTTTTGTATAGTGATTGCTTAAGAAATTTTAGATTATTGCAAATGATGTATTAAAATGATATTTTCAATGTTGGCGTGAATATAGCCATTGTTGCTGATATGGCATTAAAACTAGGGATGTCAAACGATTAATCGCATCCAAAATACAAGTTTGTGTTTGCACAGTTTCAAGCAAAAACTCACTTAATTTTGGCTTGTTTTTTCTGAAAACAAGGCAATAATTTTTACTTGTCTTGAAAATCTTGATTTAAGAATTTTTTGATATTTTGGCTGGAAACAAGACAAAAAATCTAAGTAAGAAAAGCATTTTTTGCAGTGTAGTAGCGATAGTACCTGATGTTTGCTAACCGACGTCATTGACTAAATGTATTGTCGTCAACCTTCAGCAGATGTTTTCCCCTCCAATGCACTGTGAGTCGAAGGGAAGTCCTTCCCCGGAGAAACCTGCCTCAGAACAGGAGAGCAAAAGCACTGCCAAGGATAAGGGCATGGACCCGGCCTTCCCGCTGGTTTACGAGCAGCCACGTCACATACAGTACGCCACCCACTTCCCCATTCCTCAGGTGAGCTCGCGCAGGACTGATGGGAAATGATGTTTTCACAACATCGATAGATATAGATGTGTCATTCACAACGGTTAGCTTATAATAATGTTTTCTAATTTGAGTGGTACGGGTAGGTTTTCGCGGGAAATTCGAGCATGGCACTGCGTCATTACGTCACTTCTGTAAACATAAAGAAGTTGTCCCGGCTAGTAGGCTATCGCATGTGAGGATCCTGCAGGTGACGGATCGTTTATAGCCTTTTCTCACAGCAGCCGGAATAATTAAACTCATCATTTTGATGGCAGATTGTAATCCAGAAATGATTGTGTGTTTATGAAACACATGTGAATGGAATTAAATTATATTCCAGTTTTAAATGTGCTTCTGATTACAGATAGCCTGGATGACAAAGATTTGTATTTTAAAGACAACCAGTTCAAAGGGAGCATAATTTGCTTTTTGGGTTAAAAGAATTTCTT